ACTCCCCGGTTTGGTGAGAAATGAGTGGGAAGCTAGCTTTGGTACCATCGAATATGTTTTTTGCCCAAAACGATCGTAGGGGTTGGTCCGGATTGGTGTCTCACATCAAAAGGAATCGGTGAATTTCACTAAACTGGTTGGTTTCCTTTTGGTCTCCAACAAGAAGGTCCAACATTTCGAGAACTCCCATTCCATTTTGTGGAAATGGGGGGGTTTCTGGAAATCCCTAACAGGAATAGGGACGTTGCCGGACATATGCAACCCACCAGAGGGTCTTTCGGAGGGAAACGGTCGAACCCAGCCGCTTAGTCAGGTTGCATTCGAGTGGATGGGAAGGTACCTGAATGGGCCTAGATAATAAGAATGGGGTTGTGAGATACTTCAAAAGCACAAGTCATGGGACAAGAGCATAATGCGTGTGGTTGTGATTATTGGAGCCCTGAAATTGGGCGATTCGGGCAGGAGCCCGTAGATTGCAACATGGCGTTCGTCGCACTAGCAGTATCCTGTGTTGGAAACAAACGCCAGTAGCGCACAGTTTGTTGCTGCATCTCTTTGACGCGCCGTCTCGCCCGCTGCTCTCTTTATTTTGGCCAGTATCCACCGATATTTGGTCCTTGACTACTTCCTTGGCTGTTGAGGATATTTGGCTGCCTGCTGGTCGTCCTGGACCCGATCGATTCTAGGATTTTGGCGTGATTCTCCGCTTTGCCACGTGACGTCTTTGGCCTGGCTGTGTGCTTTGAGCCCAGTGCAAGCCAGGCGGAGCTGCTATCTCGCTTGCAGATACAGCTCCTGAGAGCAAATAGCACAAACAACCGAGCAAAACACTGGCCTTGGGTCACGCGTCTCCTGCACTTGTTGGGCAATGACCTGAAGGCTGAGTTGGGGAGAGGTAAGATCTTGAAGGATCCGCCAGGGGAGGCCTGCAGACCCTGCCAGCAAACAAAGTGTCGTGTGATTGCGCCCTTTTAATAAATCCTTGGCCTCCCGTTGGACGCGTTTTGCCGTGATTCAGCCACCGAAGAAGGCAATCCTGAAGAGCCAGTGGTGACAGCGCTGGTGCTCAAAATTGGCACCGCAGCCATGGGTTTGGAGATTTTGCCAACTGATGTGGACCTCACCGGTGGGTTGCCAAATGGTTCCCGATGCTGGCGGGGCGATGTTTCGGGGGATGTTTCCCCCATTTTCTGGTTGGCAAGCTTACCTCACGGCTAGTCTTTGGGCCTGGCCGAAACATGTTTTTGCTTGCCTAACACCGAGGGAGCCGTGGAACTCGGATTCATACATCTGGGACACCCCCTTTGAATCAGCCAGAGGTTTGTTAATCCTTGGTTCATATTGGGTAAGTCCATGCGCCACGTCGCACCGCCTTTGCCCTCCATGAGATCCCCCATTTGTTCCGGTCGACCTTGGGGTGTCCGGGATCCGACCCCTGCGCAGGATGTGCTGCACATCGTCGAGGAGCATGGGCCTCCCTCTGAAGAGGTGGTTTATGTCTTCAATGGTGACATCGTAGGCGCGCTGAAAGTCTGCACTGGTGTCCTGTAGAGTGTCAGGGTCCCTTTCAGAGTCTGGGCAAATGTCTGGTCCCCCCCTCCCCAAACAAACAGAGGGTAGGTTTTGTTTTGAAGGGGGGGGTTGTCAAAATTAGGACCCCTTTTCGGTCTCCCCTTTGAAAGGCGGCACAAGGCGGCACCAGGGTTGTCTCCAGCGAGAGCCCAACTTGTCTCCACCCGCAACTTGGGTTGAGACATGGCAAGACGGGCGCGGACTGCGGTGTCTGGGCTTCTGCCAGGCATCTGCGTTTGTTTTAGACGCGCCTTGCTCCCTTTCATTTGATTTGCCTGGTGTTGCATGTTGAAAAACTTGCGTGCCCCCGTTTTAAGCACGCCCCTCAGTTGAACCGAGCCGAGCCGAATTCGCGAATTCGAGTCGACCAGATCGGGGCCGCCACGCGGTGGAGATTTGGCTCCTCATCATCGCTTTCAAGCTCGCGAGCCCTCGGAGCGCATTCGCCTCAGATCGGGATGGATTAGATCAGCGAGAGCCAAGAGGCGCCGATTGGATGGACGGTTTTGGGCAAGCGCAACATAAAACAACTCGCGGAAGGCTGGTCTTTTCCTTGTCTGAGTCCATATCTTACTTTAGCTTGGTGAATTTCGATCATCTCGCCATGGGGTTTGCACTTGACGACATGGGTGTTGGGCACTTTTTCGTTAGGTTTGTGCAGCTATGAGGCATGCCCTGCGTAGAGATTGTTGGCTTGCATGACCTTGATATAATGTCGACATTTGGTTTTGCGGATTCCAAAGCATGCAGAGCTACTCCCTCGACAGAAATCCTTGGAGTCGTATTATGGAGCCTTAGTCTTCGACTGGGCCCGAAGCAATCCGAACAACACTGAACAAAGTTCGCCCTTTGACTATTTGCATGTCTTTTCTGTTGGTGGACTGGGGGGGGGGAGGCGGGATGGACTTCTTGAACCCAGCTTATGAATGCGACTTATGTGGGGATTTGTTTGCTGATTTCCGTGTGGCAAGGTGTACGTGCTCCGCGGGAACCACGAGAATGATCAAATGATCTCCAGGTGCCGGGGAGCAGTTGAACAGGTTTTCCTTTCGCCTTTTAAGCCAGACAGGGGAGTTTCTCACAGTGACAGCTTGAGAAATGGAAGACACTCCTTACAGCATATCATTTGTGAGTTTAGATAGGAACTTGAGACACACTTCTTTAGATGGGGGAACTTAACATGGACATGAACCAATTCCTATCTAAAGAATGTCCCATCGTTTTGCTGTCCAACAGAGGGCGAGTATCTTGGTTTCCTAAGGGGCTGCGAGAGGGTGTCCGCCCTCAAAATTGCAAATAGGTGAACACGGGAAAGCCTGGCATTTGCAGTTTACACGGGTTTGATGTTGCATGGGTTAATTCATCTGCCTATCGCAATCCATCATGCTGCATGGCTTGCTTGTCAAGAGAATGCGGGGCCTCACTCGCTTGTTTATTGCCATTTGAATTTGAACGCCTTCGCCAGAGGGCATTTTGCGGGTGTTGACATGTTTTCGCACCTGGCCATTTGAGCAAACCTGTCATGTTGCGTATAGAATCGATGGACCTCCAGAGAAACGCGAGCGATCTTATCTACACGCCTTTGCCGTGGAACTTCCCTTGGCATCGGCTGACAAACTCAGTGCGAGAGACGCCGTTTCTCAATCTAGAAAGGACATGGCTGTTGCGAGTGGCGCCTCTCGGTGTTTTGTTTTTTTGCTTGGCTTCCCTCCCCTAACCAAAGGACGTCCATGATCTCCTCGTTTCCCCATGGCGAGAAGCCGAGTTTTTTTTTCTTCTTTTTTTCGAAGCGCCGCAACTGCAGGCCGTTCAAAATGGGCGGCGGATTTTCCGAGGCGCCCTGGCCGTCTTTGTCGGATTCCGGCGTGTTGTTGTCGCCTCTGAAGAAATGCTACAGGCTTGGGAGAGATCAATCTCCCCGACAGGCAGGTGATGAGGCACTGTATTAGGTTAGGGCTCCTTTGCAACCCCTGGTTTTTTGTTTTCTTGCCGGCTTATTGAAAGAGTTGTAACTAGCACATATTGAGTCAGGCCGGCCACTTGTGTGCGCTTGGAATGACTGTAGCTCAAGATCTTTTGTGCTAACTCTGCTTCTAACCAGCTGACACGAAAGGGTTGCAACATTTACCAACAATGCCCTCAGAGCAGAAGAAGCGGGTTGACCTCTATGTTTCGACTACCCCCGTTGGGTCAACTTCTGTCCAGAGGTTGGTTGTTCTCCTCAAATTTTATGGGTTCAAGTCTTTGGGGCAGGCAGCAAAAGGTAACCCTTTGAAACCAGGAAACCAGAATGGACGGTTGGAGCGCATTGGACCAAACATGGATACACGGCAAGAAGGCCACCAAAAAGGACCGACCAAAAGGAACATCGCAGCCATGGACAAAGGGGATCAAATGGACCAATGACCCGAATCGGCTCGCCTCGTGGTCAGGAGTGCCTCAGCAAGTATAACCATTCCGTGCTCGCGGCGTTCCAGAGCATGTCGCGGGACCCAGGGGTTTAGGGACCCTTGGACCCGGCGAAGCGGACGGACGGATTCTTTTTCTCAGATTTTGGGGTGTGTCTCAAACTGGGCGCCCCAAGAAAGACGGTTGCCCTTTGGGTTTTCGTTTCAAAGAAGGCGCAAGAAAGGGTAGCCTCAAGAAACGACACGGCCATCTAGGAGATTGGAGATACAGAGGAATACAAGGCCTTTGAACGACAAGCATACCACCTGTATTTTGGTGGTCACCACTCATCGTGTAATTTGGTTGTACCTTGAAAGTGACAACATAGTTATGGGCATGGAGTCCCACTCGACGGTACACAGAGATAGATTGGCGACCCTTCAGTACCACAGGCGTGCGACCTCGGCTTACGCGCCGAGGTTCAAGCTGTTGCCTCTCTTCGCTGTGATCCAGGAAGAGATTTTCGTAGTGCCAGGGGCGCGGGCTTTCGGTTCGAGCGAGTGGAGCGGAGGATACCAAGAAATGCCGTGTGCGTCATTTCCCACCAACTAACAACTAATATGGGGGGTGTCTTTTCTGAGGTTGACAACATGGCCAAACGGCTTTCCTTTTGGTTTTTGTCGAAAACCACCAAGGAGACATGGCAACTCCCAAGAATGAGACGAGCCGGATGCAAGTGCCGGCCCTTTCTGACCATGGAGTATTGGGGTCATGCTTCAAGGCTTCTTGCTGGCGTGCTTGCGCTTGATGTGAAAACCAGGGGTTTCAGAATTCAAGAGCTCAGTCGGCTCAGTGGATGCTGTCTAGGTCATATATACCTCTCAGCGGATGCTGTATAAGTCATATACGCTGCATGTACCCATATGTGACCAGTGTGTTCTTCAGCCCCCTCACAGTGCCTTGCATACGTAGCATCAGCCTTGGAACGAAGCGTTGGGCGACTGGTTGGCCGCGTGAAGTTCGGCGCACACCTGATCCTCAGCGTATTTTTGCCCAAACCAAATGGCGCTCTCGCCGGATGAGTGACACCGCTCTCTATGAGGAGGAGCCTCTCGCGTGCGCACAGGTCTTGCGGTTTGCTGTTTGCCGGTGTCTGACATAAGCTGCATGGGTGGGTCTCAATACCAGGAACTCTCTCCAGGTGTCCCAATAAGGGTGTCCCAATTTTTGATCATACCCACCAAAGACCATGTCATCTTGGGCTCAGCTTGTTGACGGAGCTCATCGGTTCTTTGCCAGCGGATCCTCACATGTCTGGGTTTGGACCAATGCTCATAGCTTTCTTGCTTGGGGATCCCCAAGTTTCCTTTTTTTTTGGGACCGCTCGCGCTTGAAGCAGCCTTGAGGAGGTCGCGACAGAATACCCTCGGCTCCTGGGCGTCGAGGTTGGCTCCCGGCTCTTCGAGGTGCTGTCGGAGCACTTGAAGCAGGGCCTGCCTGATGGCTGGTCCATGCACGTGGCAGAGGAGAGGTCGGCGGCCTACTTCTGGAACGAGGCGCGCGGGCTGTTGGCTCCAAAGGAGCCTCGGGGAATTTCGAGTCAATCTGGGTGGACAATCAATTTGGGTGTGGGTCAAAAATAGGTGCCCCAAATGGCACCCAATGGAAGCAAGGAACATCTGCGGTCTCCTGTTGGTTCAACTTGGACCCATACCCATTTGCACCAAGGGCTCTCAAATTTGAATTAAGTCCCATCTTCTCATTTGGTTGCCCTATGGCCTTTGAGTGTTTGGGACTGGAATGCTGGAAAACACACCAGGCCAAGCAGAGAGGAGGGGCTTCCAAGGATCTTTAGAGTTGGCAGGAAGCAAAACAGATGATAAATTCAAGATGTAGGAAAGAACCACCCCCACCTGGAAAAAAACAGATGCCACAATCTCCTTCAATTAGCACCTTCCAAGCGTTTTGGTTTCCCCCCCACGTTCTTTTTTGGCCGTTTTGGCTTGCTTTTCGTCAGGTGAGCGGGCAGAGCAGATGGACCCATCCGGACCACGAGATTTTCCAGGGTCTCGAGCGGCTGCATCGCGAAGCGACGGCCGCGGCGGACCCCGCGGCGCACTTGCGGCGGGGCTGGGCAGCGATGGACGCGGAGGCAAAGCGGGCGGAGGCCCAGTGGTCGGGCCCCCAGGTCACCGAAGCGAGGCAAAGATTAGCTTGCGTTTTTTGCTGAAACAACAGGGTACCTGGGCAACAAGACCGGGTGGGTGGCTATGTTTCTGTTTTTTTTGAGCGGCAAATGGAAACAGCGGATTTTCGTGGTGTCCCCGTTTGGGGCTAAAAACCCTAAGGACGAGGGGTTGCAGTACTGGTTCCTTGCTTCCGGTGAGAGCAGCTGGATGGACCCCTCGGAGGAGGCGCGCCGCGCGCGCAAAGTGCGGGCCGCGCTGTTCGGAGCTTTGCTCCACGAGAGCCGAAGCAGCAGCCGAAGCAGCCAAAGCCTCAGCAGCGTAGAGGTGACATGGCTGAAGTTCTGGTAACAGCTTGGCCCTTTTGACCAACTGGAAGTTCCGTTCAACCGTTCAACCTGCAAAAGGTTCGATGTGTTGGCGGGAAATCCCACGCAGGCACAGCCAGAGGCCCAGTGCAAAGCGGCACGTGCTTTGATTGTGGCAGCCTGTCGCGGGCATCTGCAAAGGCTGATGCTGCGGGACCACGGATTGAGCCAGCGAAGTGTCGCGGCCAGGTCTTTGCAAGGGGCTTGCAGGGTGCATTTGGGACGTCTGGACATGCAGACGTTATGGCAAGAGACGCTGGCGGAGGGCGATCGCAGAAGGTTGGGTGCAAACTAGCCCATAGCTTGTGACTTGCTCAACTGCGACAAGCACATGATCGCCCATCCCCTTTTCGTATCCCTTTAAAGAGGAGAAAAGGGGGAGGGGCAACCACGAACTTTTTTCTTTGTTTTGCAGACCATTTACCGCAGGTCGGCTGCAGGCTGCATCCAGAGACGCTGGCGGGGTCACAAGACACGCTGCTGGTGGCACGCCGAGGGCTCGCGCCTCCGAGCGGAAAAGGCGAGTGCACTGCTGCGAGCCAGAAACGAGCGGCGGCGCGTGGAGGCGGGCCGGCCATTTTCATGCCGTGGCTCAGAATGAAACGATCGGAGGGGCAATCCGCAGGTTTTGGTCTCCATGTTTCCACTTTCCAGGGCAACCCATTTTGGAATTCCGTTTTTTTGAGCCACAGCCATGTTGAAATTCACTGCGCCCAAAAATCCCCAACTTCAGATGGGGTGCTTATCACCAACAGGGACTCCTCCAGGTGGTTGGCTTCCTTTTTCCATCCAATCTCTTAATACTTGTTGCGATGTTCTTGGGGATTCCCCGAAGAGAAGAGATTTGCTTGTTCCCATGTGCTTTCAGGGTTGACTTCCCATCCGAATCAGAGCAGGTTGGAAAACTGGAGGGGAAAAGGCAAAATCAGCCAGGTCGAGCAACAAGTATTTGGGCAAGGAATCCCCGTATCCTTCATCATGGGCATGCTTTCCAGGGGTCCGGTCGGGTGTTTCTGGACCCTTTGGGCGAGGGATCCGGGCTGCAATTTTGACCACGGCTGGCCGGTTTCAGCTGGCTGACCAGCCAGCCGGGGGCTGGCTGGCACTTTCCGTCCGGCCGGCCGCGTTGGCTGATTTCAACCACCGAGCCGGCTGTGGCCTGAATTCGGCGGTCCAAACCCCCGCAAGTGGGTTGAGAGAGATCCTCGGCAGGCGCCTCATCCCCAGGAACATGCATTTGTTCTGCGCAAGTCGTCTACGCAAAGCGTCTCTAAATAAGCTATTGGCGCAAGCTTCTCTTGCCCCTCCCGAGCAAAATTTGGACACACTGTTTGTGAGATCCCGTGGCAGGCTTCTCGACGCAAGCTCTCGTACGATGTTTGCAGGTTGTCGGTGCAAGTTTCTGTTCGCGCGCGCACTTCCAATCTGAAGCGCGTGTTCAAACTCCTGACCAATTCGTTCTGAAAACATGCCAAGCCGGCGGGTGGGCGGGCGGGCGGGCGGGCGGGCGGGCGCGGGCGGGCGGGCGGGCGGGCAGGCGGGCGGGCAGGTGGGTGGGTGGGTGGGTGGGTGGGTGGGTGGGTGGTTGGTTTTTCAACAGCACGAGCAACTAAAGGATTGCAAGTTGGGCTACCAGCAGCAAGTACAATGCTTGGCGCTCGAAACAGGTTCTCTGCCATTTGCATCATTGTTTGTAGCCATCAGCCCACATACCTCTGTCCATTTGTCGGTCAATCAGCTTATTTGCATTTACGTATATAACCGTATATATCCATCTATCCACCTATCCTTCTGTCCAGCTATGCATGACAAGTATCATAAGTAAGCATAGCAAATACTACTTGTCAGTTTGTTGTTTGCGCACTAACCGTTCTTTCAATCCGGCGTCGTTCATTCTACCAGCCTGTCCGTCTATCTGCATGTCTGTCCTGGCTGTCTCCTCGCCAAGCTGTGTACGTTTATTACAGTACCTTCCTATCTTTGGATTTGTCCATCCATTTAATCATTTGTTTTTTTTTAGCCATTTGTCACCCGGACTACGTAACTGTCTGCCTATCCATTTGTCTATGCGTCTTGGCTTCTATCGATCTGTGAATCTATCCATCTAACTTCTTTCCATGATCCAGCTTTTGTACACCACAACCATGCGTCCGCGTATCTGTCTCTCTAGCCATCTTTCTACCTACCTTGTTCTCCACCTTCTGAAATGCGTACTTTGTTTTACATTCGTCCGTTTCGTCTTTCTATCTATCCACTTACCCTTCTTTCTGCCTATCAATCTACCTTTCTATCTATCCGTCTATCTATCTACCTATCTATCCATTTGTACCTTCCTTCTCCTTCCTTCCTTCTTTCTTCCCTTCTATGTGTGCATGAATTCATCCATTCATCTATCTGTGGATCTACCTATTCATCTATTTGTCGAACTATCTACCTATCCAATTAACAGCACATCTATCCATTTGTCTATCTGTCTGCCTGGCTGTCTGTCATCTCATCGAATGTAAACTTATCTTATCGCATCTTATCTTATCTATCCAGTGTATCTAATTTAGCTTATCTATCTAGTCTATCTAATCTTTCTGTCTTTCTATTCGATCTAACTTATCTAGTCAATCAAATCTACTATCTAATCTTATCTACTCGTATCTGGTGTATCCTATCTATCCTATCTATCCTGTCTATCCTATCCTATCCTATCCTATCCTTTCCTTTCCTTTCCTTTTTTGTGTGTTCCATCTTATTCTATCCTATTCCATCCTATCCTATCCCATCCTATCCTGTCTGTCTGTCCGTCCGTCTGTCTCTCTATCCATGTTTCTATGTATTTGTCTGTCTATCGATCTATTCGTTTATCATTCTCTATCCATCTATCGTGCCATCAATCCATCTGGCTGGCTGGCTGACCGGCCAGCCGGCCGCGGGATTGGCAGACTTTCCGTCCGGCCGGCACTACTTTGGCTGGTTGATTTCAAATGCCGGGCCAAGACACGCTCGCAACGCACATTTTGCACCCCAAATCGGGGCACCCCTTCAAAACTGGCGGTGTTCCTTTTGGTTTTCTTACTTCCTGTGGGTTTTCCTTTAATATCACCTTCACCCAGGGTGGTCTCCAGAACCCCACGCCCAAAGTCAGCCACCTACAGCCCAGTTGCTCGCTTCAGGAGGAGGCGCTTCGTGCGTTGGAGGCGAAGCGCGTGAAAGCGGCGCTGGTGATTCAGCGGGGCTGGCGCTTGCCGTCGCTCAAGGCGCGGCAGGTGTCGCGAGTGGCGGGTGAGGAACAAGGAGACCAGGGACCAAGGTGGCACGAGCACAACATAGAGAAACATGTAGAGAAACAGCATGAGCCAAAAGAGAAAGAGAGCAGAGAGGATTTGGATCCGGGCTTCAGCCAAGAAGATTTGGCTCCTGGCTGCTCGCAAGAGAGTCACAAAGATGAGGAACAGCCGGCAAACGCGCAGGTAGAGCACAAGGAACCAGAGGAGCATGAGGAGCACGAGAGGCAGGAATGCACGCAGAACGACAGCCAAGAAGATTTGGTTCGGGGCTTCAGCCAAGAAGATTTGACTCCCGACTGCTCACAAGAGAGTCACAAAGATGAGAAGGAACAGCAGGCAGGCGAGGAGCTAGAGCACAAGGAACCAGAGGAACATGAGAAGCACCAGAGGAAGGAATGCACGCTCAACGACAACCGAGAAGATTTGGTGCGGGGCTTCAGCCACAAGGGTTCGGCTCTCGACTGCTCGCAAGAGGGTCAAGAAGATGAGAAGGAACAGCAGGCAGACGAGGAGCTAGAGCACAAGGAACCAGAGGAACATGAGAAGCACGAAAGGAAGGAATGCACGCAGAGTGACAGCCGAGACGATTTGGTGCGGGGCTTCAGCCAAAAGGGTTTGGCTCTCGACTGCTCGCAAGAGGGTCAAGAAGATGAGGAGGAACAGCAGGCAGACGAGGAGCTAGAGCACAAGGAACCAGAGGAACATGAGGAGCGCGAAAGGAAGGAATGCACGCAGAATGACAGCCAAGAAGATTTTGTTCGGGGCTTCAGCCAAGAAGATTTGGCTTCTGACTGCCTGCAAGAGGGTCACAACGATGAGAAGGAACAGCAGGCTGACGCTGAGCTGGAGCACAAAGAGCCAGAGGCTGGTGAGCGGCAGGAAAGGAAGCTCAGTTATTCAGTGGCACCCTTTTTCCCCTTTTTTTGTTGGTGGCTGCCCCACTAAAAATGGTCTTCCCCAAAAAGGGTCCCCTTTTTTTGCCAGGGTCACTGAACAACTGAGGAAGGAAGGCATGGAGAATGGCTTTCAAGAGGATTTGGTTCCAGGGTTTGTCCAAGAAGAACCGGGACACGCGCCAGAGACGGAAGAGGACAAAGAGCCAAAGCATGGCAAGCCCGAGTCGAACAGGTTCTCAGACATGGAGCGCCAGGCTGATTTGGCTCTGGACTTTTTGCATCGATGGCAGAAGGACGAAAAGGAACATCTGGCCGAAAAGCAGCTGAAGCAGAAGGCAAAAGAGCGCGACAAGATCAAGTGGAGCGAAGCTTTGGCGCATCATGAAGATCAAAGCCCAGACTTCGGCAGAGATTGGAATGCTTCGCTGGATGCTGTCTTGAAAGACTTGCTGCAGTCGGAGCCGGCGAAGGACCGGAAGGAACGCGACACGTGTCGGTAGAAGCTTTTTGGTCGCCTTCGGACCAAAAACGCAGAAGGAGGGCGGGGCTGTGGTTCGCATTTTTGGCGTGTTTGGCCGATGGGTTCTTTTCCTCAGTCCTTTGGGCGGTCAAGATTATAGACCCGACTGGACACATGTGGGCGTGGCTCAAAATTAACCAGGAGGGGCAAACCGCAGGTTTTGGTCCATGTTTCCACTTACCAGGGTTCCATTTTGATATCGGTTTTTTGAGCCACGGCCATGTGAGTTGCTCGCAACCAGAGCTTGGTTTGGTCTCCTTCTCAGGGCGGGCAAGAGACTTAGATCTCTGCAAGCGCTCTGCCGTTTTGACGCCGTTTCGACTACACGTGTCAGAACGTGCTACCCGAAATGACAGTCTGGCACCCCAATCGGGCAGAAGAGTTGGCAAGGGCCAGCTGCTGACTTAGGTCTTGGGTAGACTCCTCTACCACGCCATGATGAATGACTTGGGGTCCGCCCTCCCAGAGATATCCGAAAGCCACACGAAACCTGGCAAATGCCGCTTGAGACCATTTGCGACCCATCAGTTTGGTGGTAACATCTCCAATTGTCTATGGTTCATTTGGGAGCGAAAGTCAGAGGACTCACAAATTGTCCGTGTCCGCTTGGGGAAGACCACGGCTCTATATGCGGGTAGTTTCGAAAAGACCTCAACCAACGCACTACCGATAATATTTATCCATCAATTGGTCAAGCATTCAACTTGCTTGCTGTTTGTACGGAACATGGGAATGCTCACCAACCACAAGCGTACATGTATGGGCGGGGTGGGGGGCAGGGGGGGGGGGGTGGGCGTATTCCGATGTGTTGTTTTTGCTTGATTTGAACCAACAGCTTACCCATCAATTCACCAAGCTGCCAATCAATAGTCATTCCCGTTCAATCAACCCAATAATGCATCGATGGGTTGATCAAGCAATTAATCGATTAATTGGCTCATTGGCTCCATCCACTTTATCATGTTCCCCGAAGCAAGCAAGTCAGTCAATCAAGTAGGCATTGCTTGGCTGAATGAGGGCAATCTGGATATATTGGTCACCAACGCAGCCACAAGGTCTCCTTTGCCTAGGTTAGACCCTAAGCTGGGGGCTGCCTGAAGGGAGGGACAAGTATGAGGCCGGAAGATGGGGAGTTGCTCAAGCAACACAATGAACTCCGCCATTTCATGGACTGATTAGCTGAGTGAATAGGTCAATCCCAATAAATTCCAGATGAATTGGCCAACGAAATCTAATCCATCGCTTCTGAGTGGATGGAAGCCATTCTGCCTCTGAATTACGAGGACTTCCCAGAGCCAAAGCTGGTGAATCAACCAAGGCCCTCCAAAGTCATGTCTGGGGAGGGAGGGGGGGGGGAGGGAGGGAGCCCTTCATAAGCCCTTATTCAGCCCTTATTCAGCCCTGATTAAGCACTTCTTAAGCCCTTAATCTCTTTTGCCCTGGCAAAAGCCGGGTGAAGTCAAAGTTCGCCTTGCATGGCGCAACAAGCCAACTTGAGCCAACGAGTTGGTCATCACTTTGGTGTATTTTGCTTGGATGTTAGGACTTTATTTTATTTTTCTGCCAACTCATGGGTTTTCCATTAAACCACTGAAAGTTAAGCTTTCAAACCATTAACTCATTAAACCACTAATGGGTTTTCCATTAAACCACTAAAGGTTAAACTTTCAGCAACCACTAAGCAGAGCAGAAAGGGGAGCAGAAAAAAAGAGCAGGAAGCAAAAGTCAAAAACCACAAGCTAAGCATCCAATCGTTAAACATTTTCATCAAAGGAATCTCAACCATGAAACACCTTTCCCTTTTTCCCTTGAAACTGAGAGGCGAAACCTTCAGGACGCGGAGAACATCTTCCCCGACCGCGTGCCCGGCGTGGCCTTCGCGGAGAAGCTCCGGCCGAGGCCGACGCCCGCGCCGAGGCCGAAGCGCCAAGAGCGGCCGCCGGTGTCGGCCAAGCGCCCCGGAGGAATGTGTATAGCGATATTTATACACATGAACAAAAATGGGAATTTTGTGTTTGTGTTTGTGATTTGTTTTGTTGGTTGGTTGGTTGGTTCGTTCGTTTGTTCGTGCGTTCGTGCGTTCGTTCGTTCGTTTGTTTGTTGGTTTGTTTGTTTGTTGGTTCGTTGGTTCGTTTGTTTGTTTGTTTGTTTGTTTGTTTGTTTGTTTGTTTGTCGCTTTTCCCCGGTTCTCGTTTCGTTGGGTGGACTGGTGATTCTGTGTTTTGTCTGTTGCTGGGTGGGGTGGCGGCTGTCGTGGGGGAGAGGTCTCTGTTTTGTGAGGCTGCAGAAGCCGCCAGCAACACGCATGTATGGAAAGCCAGCTTCACCTCACCCAAGGGGATCACTCACTCAACTTACTCTATCATTGTGACTTGAGTGGAACAGTTGTCATCACGAAGACAGCATGTCACTTTTCTTGTGAAGAAGACTCGAGGGTTGTTTGCCGCTCCCATGAACCACTGTAGGGCCCACACGGGTCGCTTCCTCGCGGCTTCCTTTCAACAGATATCCTCAAGAAAAGGACAGGCCAGAAAACACCAGCAAAATCATTCTGGCCCCCCCCCCCCCACCCCCGCTTCAAGGGACACCAAAAGCGGAGGTTTCAGCACAGTCCAGCCTGGAGCTTCGTGTGCACTGGAGGTCCGTCCTCGACGCGTCGCTTCTCCCGAACCTCGACGCCCTCAAAGTGGAGGAGATCGACGACTTCGCGGCCGCTCCGCTGCGACCGGCGAGGAGCGGGGGGTCGTGGAGGGCAGACCCGGGCGGTTTCCCTGGGTTGCTGGGTTTTCAATTTAAGGTTTTAAGGGGGGCTGGTGGGTTTTTGATTTTAAGGTTTCTAAGGGGGTTTTAATTTTCAAGGTTGGTGGGTTTTCCAATTTTAAGGGGGTCTGCGCCTGTGTCTGCGCCTGCGCCTTTGAGATGATCGGGATCCTGAAGCTTCAGAGTCCTGGTGCCGTTTGAGGCTGGGTTCCAAGCCACCCGTTTTGCGCTAAGAAAAGCCCAAAGGATGGGAATACCAAGCAAAACATCAGTGAAGTTGATTCATTTGGGCTTTTCTTCAAAACATCGGTGAAGTTGATTCATCATTAAACATGCGGACCCAAAATGCAGACCCAGACCCAGACCCAGACAAACAGACAGACACATACGCAGACAAGCAGACAGCCACACAGACGCAGACACACAGACAGACACACAGACACACAGACACACAGACGCACAGACGCACACAGGCACACAAACACACACACACAAACACACAAACACACAAACACACAAACACAACACACAAACACACAACCACAACCACGCCACATCCACGCCTCGCGCCGCGCACATCCGCACGCGCGCATAGACATCGCACTTACACACACACACACATAAGCAGACATTGTTGGGGTTCCCACATTTTTTTCCCTCAAAAGGAAGCGTCAAGTTGCCCTTCTGGGGGGATGTTTAAAACCAATATGGCTGTGGGTCAAAACCCATGGTACCATGTTGGGGTAGGTGCACCACCCATTTTAGAACCCATTTTAGTGGTTGGATTGAATCGGATGTTCACTGGGGGCTAACCGACTTGGCGTTTGACCCATGGCCATATGAAGGCCATAATCGGAACCCTGCCAGAGGGGAGGCTCCTTTCGTCAGGAGCTTCAAGGATTTCGAGCTGGAGTCGTCCATTTCGCGCGCCCCCAGCAGGCGACAAATTTTGGGAGCGGGGGAAATGGCTGGGCGCAGGGTTCTGGTTGCGTTCCCCTTTAGAAAGAAATACCAACCGAAAGGCGGGGGGTACGATGGCTTGTGGTGCTTGGTGGTAGTTCGCAGATTGTGGCGCTTTGTTCGGGCTGGTTTTCCTTTTGGCTTCCTTTTTGGGGTTTGTGCAGATTGCTTTCTTGTTGGTTTCCCTTCCTTTCTCTCCAAAGCATCGGCCCCATGTTGAGCTAGGTGTGAGGTCAGCCGACCTCCAAGCATGGCCTCCGCATCCCGTCAGTGTGCCTCCACCCCCGAGCTGCGCGCTCGATGCGACAGTCGGGCTGCCGTGCCGCTGAGTGGCAATCCGTTTTGGCGCCCCGGCACCTCGGGTACCTCGGGTGCCGGGGCCAGTTCCTTGCGGTTGGCTGGCAACCAGCTCTCCCGTAAGTGTGCATGAAATTCTGGAAGAAGCCAGCGACAGGTCGCAACTTCTGGAAGTTGTATAACCAAATTCCCGCCAGAAATCGTTGGGTTGCCAAATCTCATTTCCTGCAACATGTTCCTGCAGCTGGTTTCTGAGAATGAAAGACGTCCCTAGCAGTTCCCTCACTTGATGAATCAAGGTGGGGGGAATGCATGAGAGGTTTGGCCCAATCGCAGGGAAGAGGATAAGAGTCGTAGTTTGAGCCAAGCCTTGCATGTGTTGACCTAAAAGTTTTCAATCAAATGGCAGAGACCAAAAGGACGCAACTATGCAACTGGCAGGGCGCTTCCAACCAGCAAATGGTTCAGAATTCTTGATTGAAGTGTCTGAACTGCAACTCGGACCAGCCCTTGCCGCATGGAACAGCCCCCAATCAGCCCCATAGGCATTCGGCAACTTGGAGGTCCCACTGGTAGATGTTTTTTTCCGGCATCGAAGTTTCTCAGTTTCCAGCCTAGTCTGGTGCCAACAGGCATCTCAGGACTCTGAGACTCTGAGAGTGGACCCACCCCGGCAAGCAATTGCGTGATCTGATGTTGGGCGGTCTTTGGTTTTAATCGCTTCCCCCAAATTCAAATACTGCGGACTCTTCAAGGTTAAAAAACAAAGATATCAATCGATAGGGTGCCTTTCTGCATACATACTGTGGATGGACGAAATCCAGTCCGCACCATAAACAAAACCCTGGTTTCTGATTTAACGGCAGCAGGGGCTGAAGTGCGCCAAAGCCGAAGCTTATGAGTCGGTGTCGCACAACACTGCTTAGCCAGCATGGATTCCGACTTAGAGGCGTTCAGTCGTAATCCAGCAGATGATATCTCCGTGGTATCTGCGTTTCCCCTGTAAATGCCATTAAATACCACCAACCAAAGGTGTCCAAAGGTTTCATTTCACATTTCGTCCATCCACAAGAGCAAGGGTTGCTCTTCTCGCATCATGATAGAATTAGTTAGTTGTGTGTTGGGCACCTATGCGAATTTGGTATTTGAGTGTGTGTTTCCTTTTCTGGACGACCTTCTGCCCCCAAGAAAAAACGGAGGTGTTCCTCTGGGTTTTCCCTTCAAATCACCCAACAGGCACCGACGGGCCGCCGCTTGCTCTGAGGCACGGGGGCTTGTTCCGGAACCCCCGCGTGAGTCTCGAGAGCCTGCGCCAGCTGCCCTTGGCAGCGGCCTCAGCGTTTCGTTTCCGCGAGGGGGGTGCTGGCCGGGCCGGGCTGTGGGGCCGGGCCAGGGGCCGGGCGCGAAGGCAAGGCATGGGTCACGCAGACCAATCTTTGACGAAGAAGGAGTGGCAGAGATTCTGAGTGAACTCCTTTTTCTTTTTTGTCCTTCTCTTCTTCTTTTGGACATAAAGAGATGTGTCGTCAACAGATGCGGTGACGTGCGATCCATACTGCTACCAGTGTCCGACTTTTTTGTTGTTTGTTTTTGATTTGGAAGCGACAACTACGGTGTTGATTTACGTGTTTCTTTTGCCTCGTATTTAGCCTCAACCACGCTGTCGCTATTTCGTTGTTTCTTTAACTATGATTTGGAAACAGTAACTACGCTAGCTTCGATTTTTGGAATACAATGGTGCCCTTTTTTGTTCTTTTTGAAGGAATGTTGGCCTTAAATTCAATTGAACAGCCGGTGCCCGTTTCCTCTTTGGTCCGAGACTCCGGTGAGTTGGCCAGCTTTGATCTTCCTTTTGAAGCCAAGGGCTGAGAAGCGATTAGAAAAAACAGCCTTGGCCAGTCAGCTCGGCTCGTTGGTTCCGATTCCGGGGCTTTCGGAATTTCGGGCCATAGGTGTCCTTTTTGCTTTGCTCGAAAATAGATGGCCCTGGTCGAACTGGTGGTCTAATCATCTACCAGGACCATCTATTTCCCCTGAAAGGACACCTATGCTTCGGGCGGGCTCCAGTTTTGGGTCCGGTCAAAGCCCGCTGCGCACGGCTAGGAGGCGTGGCACAGGAACTATCCCAACCCTTTGAGCAAGGAGGAGGTGGCACGAGGCAGGGGCGAATGACCGGAGCTGAGAAGAGCTTCTCCAAATGGGATTCGTTCCGAAAGCCCCCCTCGGTTGATATTTGAAGGCCGGTCGCTGGTGGCGCCACCTTGTTGGGATGATGTTGAGGCGCTTGAGCGCGTCGGTTCAGCCGATTCGGGCTGTCTTCAGGGGGGGCGCTGATGTGTGCAAAGCAAAGGTCGGTAACTTCATCTGAGTTGGTCCAAAGGGAAAACAGATGGAGAGCAAGCATCTTGGGTTCCAGATTGCGAGAAATTTCCTGCCATTTGTTACTCATTTCCTTCTTGTGGGCATCATCATCATCATCATCATCATCATCATCATCATCATCATCATCATCATCATGATGATCATCATGATCATCATGATCATCATGATCATCATGATCATCATGATCATCATGATCATCATCATCATCATCATCATCATCATCCTCATCATCATCATCATCGTCCCGATGCGGGGCCATTGTCAGATTCATGCCACAGCTTGTTTGAGTATGCCAAATGTCGAACTCCGAGTTAGACCGACTCAAAACGGACGAGTCGGTGGGTTTTCGCTGAGGTGCCACTTGGTCGGAGCACGAGGAGATCCTTTTCGATGCCTTGTGGGCCGGGGAGACCCAGAAATCCATGCCCAGCGGCATGCGGCGAGTATTAATGAAAAGTCGTACGAATTTCCCCCAGATTTTGGGTATTTTTCATTTTTTTCCCAGTTTGTTGAATTCCTGTAAAAAACACACACACACACACCATTATTTTGAAAATGTATAATTCTTTATTTTGGCAATAATGTATCTCAACCAGATGGCGACTGGTGGAAGAAAGCTCCAGTTTTTCACATGGCGAGCAGGAAGGCACCGCGGAAAGGGATGCATCTGCCTTCAGCCAGCTGGAGCCGCGGTTGTGTGCAGAGGGGGCCTGTGCACGGCCATGTGGAAGAGTATGCGTCAGAGGCTGGACCCTCCTATGAATCTTGAAAAGAAGCCTGTATGAAACTGCTTCCAGAATTCTCGAACAAGAGGGGAACACGGGCATGAACTTAATTGGGGACCCTTTGGTGAACATCATGTACATGTGGATTCCATTGCAGCTCTGGAAATGCCAGTCTGGGTTGCCCGCTTACCGTCACTCAGTGGAGGGCTTGACTGTAGCAAATGCGTGGGTCCCGCTTTCAGGGAAGGGTTTCCTTTGCAGGTCACTTTGGTTTGAAGGTCGCGCCTTAGGTTTTGCGACCCTTCGGTTTCAGACGCAGGAGTTTGCCTCACGTGTCGCAGGCAGACCCTCACGAGGGCTTGGGCTCGAAGCGGCCGGGGCCCAAGAATTGGGGCGAAGGGTGAGAGGCTGCGGGGTTTGTCTCACAATCAAAGCCGCAAAATGGGCCTCGGTGTCCTTTTGGTATCCCTTGGAAGCCAAGCCAGAACTGGGGTTCTGCCAAAAAAACGGCGCTACCTTACTCCAACGGAATATAGGTGCTTGGATCTATGAGATGCCCTATGAGATGGCGTTGATGTGCTGCAAGTTCTGAGATCATTTTGAGCTGAGTTTGGCTGACAATCGCTGACACTGGTTTCAGCTTGGTTCGAATCATTTGCCAGATCCATCTATGTTGTTCCTAGGGTGGGCTGCTTTTCAGAAATTGGGCAAACGTTTGTGATCGGCGCCCAAAAAACAATTTGTTGGCCAATGTAGAAGGTGCTACATCGAGGTTGGTAGGGATAAAAAGGTGGGGGCTGCCCAGAAATAGGCGACCCACAAAAAGGGTGTTGTTTTTTGTTCCCGTTTGCATATCAACCAAAAGGGGTCCACTTTCAGACCCCTCCCCAAATGTAGAAACCTTTGGGAGTTTCCCAGGTTTTTGTCGCCGGAAGGGCAAGGACTGGGTAGATTTGCTGGGCGAATGGACCCTGGACGAATCAAGGAAGGTTCCAGTCTAACATGGGGCACCCCCTCTCGACCAGGGGTTTATATCCTACGCGCAGGAAGACAAAACGCGGCTCGTGGCACCCCGAAGCTCCTGCATTGCTGTGATTGAATTCGTGCGCCGAACCTGGATGCTCAAGAAGCATGTCTCCGTCACAGATCCCAAGGGGGACAAACCCAGTCTGTTCGCAAGCCCAGGTTGGTCTGGATCCTGTGCTACGAGCAAAGCCTTGGAAAAACGATCCGCACACCAGTATCACCGTTTGTAGAATGGCGGACAGGTCCTCCCAGTTTAGCGCATCGCATGCGGGCGACTTCATCGTTTCTTGCCCGAGGTGTGTGTGTGTGTGTGTGTGTGTGTGTGTGTTGCTCGGATGTTGGAACTACTTCAATGAAGCGCATCCACATGGCCGCTCAAGATGTATCTGGTTTTCCAGGGTCAACTCTAAGTCTTGAGAAAGCATATTTGATAAATTCATGGCCCAAGCGGCGCGGCTGACAGCCCAAAAGCCGCCCAAGAGCCCACCAGCTGTGCACTGACAGGTCCGAGCGGGGCAAAGTGGCCGTCATGCTGCGGCCTGAGCCATGGGATCCGGGTGCCTGAGACTTCGTGGCTTGCTGCAGCTTCCCTTGGTCAACATCCCCCCAAAAAACGGTGCCCTCAGCACTCAATTCAGAGTGCGTGCAGATATGGGTATGGGTCAGAATCAAACCACTAGGGATTGAACGGCAGGTTTCAGTCCTTGTTTGCGTTTACCAGAGTTTTCCATTTTGGGAACCCATCTTTGACCCACAGCCATCTCCTTGCACAGGTTGGAGAGGGATTTAGGAAGAAGCGGAAAGGACATGGAAAGAGTCCCCTGCATGCCACCCCTTGAGTGTGAAGAGTTCCGCAGGCCCAAGGGCCCGCGGAGAAAAGCCGCCAGGTTTGGCGAGGACGTGACCCACCGCTTCCTGGACCAAGCCGGGCTCTCCCTTTGCCTGCCGCGGTCTCAAATTTTTGAGATGGGTGGCGCCAGTGCGTGCGACTCCGGCTCCTCAAAAGGGTGGACTGCTGAACCAACTCGCATGTGATACTTGCTCTGGCTTGCATTGGGCTGGCTCAGAGATTCCATGCTAAGGGAACTTGAAGCCACCAGCTTGCTTGAGCGAGTAAAACAGGGATGCCCTTGTTGAAAGGGCTCTACATCCCCAAAAATTGTTTGATTTCTTGCAAGGATGGCGCACAGGGCTGTGACTCCGACCCAGACTCAATCTTCGAGGGAATCCAAGCATCCCACCAGAGTGTTGGGGGCAAACTATGGCGACCTCTTTGTCTGGTTAGCCAGCTCAGGTTCCTTTGCTGATTCCCAATTTCGATAAGGGAGATCCCCTTGCAGGGAATGAACCCCTCTGAATTCCCCAGAACCAGAAAACTACATCAGTTTGGGGAAGTATCATCTTGCCGGTTGTGTTCCCTGCGGTTGCTTACCATAGGCGCTCGCATCGTGTTCCGCAGAACGGCTCGGGCGCTCAGATGGCCGTCACTTTGGCACCCCCAAAGAAACAGGTTGGTTGCCTATTTGGCTTCCCTTGCGATACGGGGATCCTTTTTTGAATATAGCAACATGTTGAGTCAATTGATTGTAGCATCGAAAGGACGATGCAATCAAGGTTTCCGTTCTGCAGGCGAAGTACCTAAACGCTTGCAGGTTTTTAGGTCTCAAGTGCTATTGAGACGTATGGACTTGGCCCACTTTTCCCTCGATGTGCCGTGCGTTGCCCTTTGAGCAAAGTGAGACATGGGAAGCGAGTGGCTTCCTAAACCTCTCCAACCGATTTGGTGCTACAAGTCAACAGGTGAAGTGGTGCAATTGGCTTGACAGGGCAGTGGGTCAAAATGAGAGCTTGAGGCTAGTGCTTGTGCAAGGACCCTTTTCGATCTGCACGATAAGCCACGATAGATGGATAGATGGATAGATGGATAGATGGATAGATGGATAGATGGATAGATGACCCCTACCTGCCACAACCAAATGAATCAGACTCGTTTGTGCAGATCGCCTTTTCCAGCGGTTTGCAGAGTGTCTCTGTCCAGCCCGGGCGAAGCGCAGAACTCGGCTCAAGACAGCGAGGGAGTGACAGGATGGCTCCTCAAATGCTTGGGCAAGAAAGCGGCGTCAGAGAGCATGAAACATGGTTTCAGACATCGCCGCGGGATCCACCAGTTTGGTACACAACCCCATATTTTCGCCCCAATTCCTTCCCAACATCACCAGATTCATATTCAGATCTTGTTGGGGAGCCCATTTTTTTGGGAACCCCTGAAGCCAAGCCCAACTCTTTCTCCACGCCCCTATCGCGGGATCGCGGAGATGTAGGATGCCACAGGGGCCCAAAGGCGTGGGAGGGTTGGCGCTTCAAAAGGGACACCTGCTTTTCTCTATGTGCAAAACGACCGGGCGACAGTCAAATCGACAACGGGTAGGTGAAGATTCGTTGGTGTGGATATCCGCCCTTCTGATTCTTGCATTGAAATGGTATGGTTTGGGTAGACCGCTTGAACCACCACGTTTTGATGTTTGACGCATGAGCCGGTGGTTTTCTCGCTGGCCTTCGTGGCTCATGTACGGATTCTGCGTGCAGTTGCATGCCTTATTTCGGGCCGAGCACCGAGTCATAGAGGTATCGTCGGATCTCAAAGGGAGATGCAGGTCTTGCCAGCCGGGCATCCCCCCGAAATGGGTCCCCAAAAGGGGCAGCCTTCAAAAGAAGCCAGATCTCAGGCACCCAAATCTGCGATTCGACTCGGGTCCAGCGACGGGTTTTCAGCCCAAAGAACCAAACGAAGTTTGGGTCAAGCGCCGTCAGGCAAGGTGCTGAAGTCTCCGGTGATCCACGGCGAGCCGGAGGAGGCGATGGCCGGGGAGAGCGGATGTTCTACAGACTATGCCCAACAGACTTCTGGCTGAGCGAAGCAAAAGGTTGTTGTGCTCTGACCTTCTTGATCATGAGATTCCACTGAGTGGTGATTGATTTAGCTCGCAGCTCGCAAGTCAGAGGCAGCAGGCTGTCAATCTGTTCCGATGGTGGAAATGGCACTGTGTGGGAAAGAAGCTGGGCTCTTTTGGCAGCAACTTTGAACCGGGAATTTCGAGGGATTCAACTTGTGGTCATGCCGCTGCATGCCTGCGAGGAGCTTGAGAGCCATGAGGAGGACGTGCTCGGGGAGGACCTGAAGAGCGAGTCCGAGTCGGTGCTGGGCGAGTTGGGTGCAGGCCCGGCGCTTGCGAACCGAGCGGAAGAGCTCTGGGAGGAGAGAAATTGTCGTAGGTAGCGGCAGTCGACCTCTTGGAGAACATCTCTGGCTGGATTTTGGGGACGGATACCGCAGAACGGCTCGTGGGCGTAGTATCACCGTGCTGCAAAGTCATTATGATGCTGTTGAATTCATCAGGGGGGCGTTTGTGCTAATAGCGCATAATGCTTCGTGGCTGTGGTATCATCATGGTGCTGCACCAATCAGCCTGCTGTTCCTATGCTTATATGTACCGCAGACTGGTTCGTGGCTGTGCTATCATTGTGATGCTGCCAAAGTGCTTATAGGTGTAGCGCATATTGGTTCGTGGCTATGGTATCGTCAGGATGCTGCCAAACTCATGGATGCTGCTGGATTCAGTAATCAGGGCAGTGTTTGTGCTTGTATATAGTGCGTACTGGTTCGTGGTTGCAGTGTCATCATGCTTAGTGGTTTCGCTGCAGAAAAAAGAGCAATTTCCCTCAAACATCTCATGGTTTCTGGGGTCTATGCTGTGCAATTTCCTGGCGCCAAAGCACAGAGGGGATGAGCTTCGAGGGGTAAGACGGTAAGACGGCTGACGGATCTTTTCCGAGGTCAGCCAAAGGTTGTGTTGAATGGGCTGCTCCATATTCTTTATATATGTATGTACATGCCCCTTTGGTTCAAAGGCATTTGATCCCTAGACGCCAAGGACTTTTTTGGATGCCCTGTGAACCTTGCCTGTTGCTTCTCTCTTGCAGCACTCTTTCAGCGCTTTTCCAGGATGAAGCGCGGGTTGGTTGGTTTGTTCTTCCAAACAAGGGCTTGCAGCCTGACTGGGCAGCTTTTCAGGCCCCCTTTTGTTCTTTGATTCTGAAGCGCAGCGTGGCCGAAACGAGTGCCACACTCATTCAAATGAGCAGACAGGTGCCATTTGCGCAAACTTGGGAGTTTGGCATGGGAAATACATAGTCAGTTGGTGCAGTTTGTCGAGCATGTCAGAAAGAAGACCGTGCAGATGCGTTGATTGAAGGAGCGCTCGCAACAGAAAGGCCTTGTTTCCTCAGCCGTGGTGCGTACCCCAAGTCAAAGAATGGGAGGCGCCGCATTGGGAGCTTCGAAATATGACTCAGTTGCCATCCCGAAAAATGGATCGTGCATCGGCTCGCGGGGGGGGGGGGGAGGGGAATACACTGAAGCCCAATGTGTCCAAAATGGGTGGACCGGACCTCGCCCCAAAAGAAGGGATGGGTGTTCCTTCCGCTTTTCCCCAGGCTTTTCGGGGTGCCTCGAAAAAACCATCCGGCCAGTCCTCCAGCCACAGGCGTGCTCCGTCCCGCCTGGGTGGCGCCACCGCCCCTGCCTTGCGCTCGGTTGTGGGTGGAAGGGAGGCGTTGAGTTGGTGGTATCCAAATTTTGCAGGGGAGGGAGCTGTAAGGAGCCGCCAGTTCCGTAAGGACAGGGACAGTCCTAGCCAGAGATCTGGGCGCGGCCGCCTTTGTAGGTCTTTACATTGCTTTGGGTAGACCATTTTTGATATCAGGTTTTGAGGATGCCTCCCCTTGTCTTTTTCCGAGTGGGATGACTGACCAATCGTCCGTTATGACATTGAGTGGGTCGGACATCCAAGTTGCCATTTTCAACGCGATCTTTGAAGCACTCAAATGGAACCCCTACTTTCAGGGCGTACTTTTCCCGAAGAAGGCTAGGAGTGGTGGCGCCTTTGTCATGTCATACTCTGACCAGGTCGTTCCTTTGGTGCTCCGGTCGATTCAAGCATGGATTTGCCGCGCTGCATTCAGGCTTTGCCCCATGAGCACGCCCAAATTCGTCACCCTCTTTTGGCTCCCTAGCTCAGCATCCCATATGTCAGCTGAGACCCTTGATGCTTTCGATGTCCTTCTGAAGCCATTGGCCATGCCAACATCCTCGTTTTGATACGCCAGGAAGGACCAATTCGAACTTGTCCCCTCCAAAAGGCTAGACGACTTTCCCGGGGGCAGACTACGGCGGTTGCTCTCCTCAATTCGAAGCTTTTCGGGCGGTTCAACTTGAAGCTCGTAAACTTGCTTTCCGAGTGACTAAAAAGACAAGCCACGTTCAGACATGTTGCTCCTAAAAGGCCCCCGCCCCCATTTTCTGACAAAGGGGGTGGCTTCTTGAGATTTTAGGAATGATTCCTAGAGATGGTGCAATAATTATTTCCGGGGGATTCCGGAATAGGTCTTGAGTATTTTTGAATTGATATGAACACCCGGCACAGACAAAAGAGGCCGACTCACTTCAGAGGCCGACTCACTTCCCAACAACTTGGCCAGATTCCGATTGGGGTGACGTCAATTGTCTTTGGAGCATCTTGGATGGTCGAGTTCTGCTGGCGGGAGCCATGAGGTGATGTTTGAAGAGGGAGGACCTTTCCCCGCACGATGTGCGTACTCAAAGCTCTGTTGGACCCATTTTCGAACCCATTTGCAGACTTGAAACTTGGTTGGACCCATTTTCGAACCCATTTTCGAACCCATTTGCTTGGTTGGACCCATTTTCGAACCCCCAAAAAGGTCCGCCCTCAAAGGACATTTGCTTCGCCCTCTCATTCTCAGGGCGCCGGCGGGGGACCTGCAGGGCGCCAGTTTCGAGGAGCGCGGAAACCAGAGGGCGAGCCACGTTCCAAATGTGCTTTTCTGAGGGTGGCAGTTTTGGGGTGAGGGGAAGCAACAGGAAATCACTATTTGTTGGTGTCCAAATGGCTGTGGGTCAAAATGAATGGTACCATTTTGGGGTAAAACGGAAGGTGAGCTGCGTTCCAAATGTGTTTTGCTGAGCATCTTGGCAGGGCCAGTCTCTGGTCAGTGTGCAGGTCCATTTACCTGGCTTCGTTGAAGCATAGTCGACATGGCGATTCAACACGAGAAGTTGGAATTTCCAGCATGATTCCTCAGAGAAAGCATGTGGAAACCCAAGAAGCCACGTCCACAAAGCAAGCCCAAAGAGGACTAATGTGAATTGGGGACCCTTCGGTGGACATCATTTACATGGGGATTTTTTTGAGACGGTGTTCCCCATTCAAACTCGTCCCTTTTGGCATGAGTCAGACTTTCGCTGAGAGCTTACAGTACTTGCTCCGTGTTTTGAAGAGGAATGCGGACCCTGGAGTTACCAACCTGGTGGATGAACGCAGGGTGTTCGCCAAAACGTGAAGGGGTCTCTGCAATGGGACACCCTCCATTTATCAACCAGGGAATTCTTAGTCCTGGGTTCCCACCAAATCAGCGCTTCCGTGCAGCCAGGTTGTAGAACAAAGTCTGCTGGGCCAATCGGGCCACAATTCTTTGTCACGGCCACGGCGTGGAATGAGTTCGTTTCCAAAGACAACGGCGCTCCCAAAGAGGTCCTCGTTTTTGATATGCCAGGAATGGGACGCCAGAGGTTCTCCATTCGAAACTGCCCCCGAGGATGCGCCCCTGCTAGAACCTGTCTAATATGTGCGGGAACCCACACACTTCTTGAGGCACCCCAAAATCAGCTTTACTAAAAGGACCTGGGAGTACAAGGGTAGACCTGAATCAACACATACCTTCAGCTAGGTCCCCCACTACCCTTTTACCCTTTCTCGGGGGAGGGTTCCCCTACTAAAATAGACTACAGAGAAAAATCGGGTACCCTTATTCAAACCTCTCTACTAGTCAGGTCCGAGTCGTCCCCCGAAACGGCGTGGGTGGCCAGGACCTGATCTTGCCAGGACCCGGCACGGATCGTCCAACTGGTTTCCGGCGGTTTTTGCCGGGGCTTCCCGTTAAAAGCCTCAACACCCCAAGGGCACCCACAAAGAAGCGCAGACCCAAATCCATGCTTCAAAGCCTTGATCGTTTGGAGTGCGCAGCTCACGAGTTCGATGCAGGCGTCAAGCTTTCTGTGTCACAAGGTGGGAAAGCGGGGTTTCACGGCTTTGTCTAGTTTGCTACAAGGAGAGAAGACACGCTGGAAGTTATTTGCAGTATCGCAGATTCGAGCTTCCTGCAGATAACACGTTCGCCGATGCCGTGGAAACACAGAGGAAAAGGCGTCCTGAGAGGAAAAATCGCCTCGGGGCATCCTCAAGCAGCCTTTGGTGATATTCCAGATTGATTTGATCCGTTTTGCCATCAGCTACAACATTCCCAGGGTCAAGTATGCCCTGCGGGGCAGTCGTGAAATTTTCGTCTTGAGGTCGTTGGCTTTTGGACTCCATATCAAGCCATGGCGATTGAGGGTGGTTTGTTACGACTCAGAAAAAGCACCCAGGTTTTGGCACAGGGGTCCCTCAATCCAGAGTTTTTTTTCCATTGCCTCTGCAAGTTTCGAGGGGGAAATTCTCCTTGGTCCCTGGCTTCAGGGGGGTCTTTTTGCCACCTTTGGTGGACAAAATGATGGACCCTTGTAGTGAAGGATTCCTTTTTGAGGGGTCGCCAATTTTCTCACAAAAGGTGGCAACAAGACCCCCCTGCCTGGCTTTGTGCCCAAAGTTGGCGGATCCCTGAGAACTGGTCCTTCAGGATCTGCCCTCCTGCCACGTGTGGAGCCTACTCAACATGCCGAGCCCGCGGAGGCTGCGCTTGGAAGAGCCGCTTGCCAATGGGTATGCGTGGTTATGGGTTGGCTTGGTTGCGGTTGGTGTGGTTATTGGTGGGGTTTTGAGTTTTGGGCTTCTGGGCTGTGTGCTTCAGGGTTTGGATTTGTTTGCTGTTGATAAGTTCGCTTGGGCCTTGCTTGGTTTTTCTTGCGGCGAACTTTATGCTCCCCGCCTTCCGGATCGTTTTTGTCACGCTGGCACCGCCTTCTTTCTTTCCGCCAGTCTGGTTGCAAAGTGTCACATCATGTCGACTTCGGATTAGCAGTTCCCCAGAATTTGTATCACTTCCGCAGTAAATGGGGGAGCCTTGAATAACCTGCCAGCAGAAGTGCAAGTGCGCACACTGGCTTCCCAACCTGCACTGTGCACCGCGCGTCCTGCCTTTCACCATCGCAACCCTTCCCATGCGCTTAGCCCAAGTGCGGTGTCAAGCTGAGCTGCTTTCGTATCATTTACAAGCTCAGCGATTGGCAGTGATCGAATTGCCAGGCTAACCTTCTCACTGGTGCAGGAGGGGGTGCACCGAAAAGCTTTGCCGGAGCGAGGTTTTGTCTATCCATTTGGGCATGACTTTTTGTGGTTGCTTTGCATCTGCTAAGGCGGGGAATCCGAAGCCAAGTTTGAGGGGGGGGGGTGCTCTCATTGAAGAACTTTTGGGATTGGGAAACCACAATTTTCAATCTGAAGACATCATAGAGCGCCATCGTCGCAACTTTCGCATGTTTTGACCAGTAAAGCTCTCCTGCTGTTTCTTGTGTCTTGAGTTTGATCTCCAGGGACCCCTATTTGGACAGACCCAAATTGCGACACCCCGTTATGCAGGGGTCTCCATCAAGAAATCATCGAAGCTGACAAGAGGGTTTACTTTCCTTTTGGGGAAGCCCCACGTCCACTTCCATGTTTGGTGTATATACATATACATATTATATATATATATATACATACATAAATATACACACCTCTATACTTTTTTTTAAATATATATACATATATGGTGTGTTTATTGTCAAGCATATACTTCCCTTTCCTCGCAGGTACTCCGACCGCGTCTTTTTTGGGACGCACCCACCGAAGCCCCGACCGGCAAAGCGGTCAGGATTCGCGGTGGTGGTGACACCTGCCCAGGAGGCTCCTTTGGGGTGAGCCGTGGAACCGGGGAACTCCCAATTCGTGAAGCCCCCATGGGTGGTGTCCGCCACGGTTTGTCCCTTTAACGCCACACACACAAAAAAAAAAACACATATTGCATATTGTTTTTTTCGGATCTCACATGGGATATTCTTAACCTCCCGGGCTGAACGTCCACCCTGAAGTTCACGTTTGTATGTCTTTTTTGTGCAACTGGACCTGCTGGCCTCTGCCAAGAGTTTGTTTTGCCCGTTGGATAGCGCTGAAATGAAGAGCATGTCGTCTTGAAAAGGGGCACCTCCATTTTTGTGACAACACGCGGCTTCCCTTTGGTTGTCCCTCCAAATCCCAAGAATCGGAGCCCTTTAAAATGACACACACACACACAGACACACGAGCCCTTTTACGGGTCCCTCTCTCCGGGCTTTCGCACCCGCAAAGCCGTTTTTCGCCTACTGTTTTCTACCCGTTAGTGAGGGGGGGGCCGAAATACAAGAAAGTCCCCATGTTCTTTGCTTTTAGGGAGGCTCTCAGCCGTGGCGTGGATGGCGTTGACGGCGTGGATGGCGTTGCCGGCGTGGATGGCGTGGATGGTGTGAATGGCCTGGATGGCGTGGATGGCGTGGATGGCTGCCTTTTGGCATTTCTGCGCTTCCACCGGCCACTAATGTGGCAGCATATAAGGATTGTGGCTCAGCCGATTGATTGACTGAAACCATGGCGTAATGATCGTATGATCATGAGTCAAGCGCTCGCTTCTTGAGGAAGAGGCACTACCGGCACCCCCAACTGGGCATGTATGTATATATATATATACATATATAAACGTATTCATACACACAATTTGTGTATATATGCACAGAGAGTTGCGGCCGCACTTCTTGACTCTTTGCGTGGTTTTGGGCAGACTCTTTCAACACCAGGTCTTTATTCTGACACCGCAGTGCTGCAAATGACTCATTGAATCTATCAGCGGCCTGCAGAAGGAGCTCTTGTGGGATGATTTCGCTCGCATCTTCACAAGGAGCAACCAGGTACACCAGGGCAAAAGTAGATGGCCCAATTTTCATGTTGACTCAAAATGGGTTGGAATGCCATCTTTCAGTGACTGCACTCACTCGCCTCCATGTGGCTTTGGAATGCCAGGAGCCCGGCGGCGTGGCGCGGACCTCCTGGCAGGCATCACAAGACTGCCATGACACGCCAGCCCAGTTGGGGGTGGTGTGGTTGGGGGAACTCAAAACCGGGGGCAGCTTTGAATTCTTAAGGGGTATTTCAGAAGTCAACTCAACCATAGGAACATTTTCGTGGACGCTTCGAGATGTATGACTTGTCCTGTTCCCAATGTTCTCGCCGACAGGGTCAGGCTGCTCCAGCTTTCTATTCGCTGAGATAATCTGCTTCCAAAGCTGTTTTCTCTTGGATTGGCCGTGGCACCTATTCTTTTCAGGGTAAAAGCAAGGTGGGGCCTTTGTGGGGCTGACCTGTTGAAAGTCACCATCCCTTTGAGAAGTGACTGGTCATCTGAGCCACAATCAAAATCCTGGTAAGTCAGGGTCAGAACGGGACAGTTCCAAAGACAACTAGGTGCCGCTATGTGCCCTCTTAATTCTTTGCATTGTTTTGGGTAGGCCACTCAAAAATATCAGGTTTGATCTTGACTCATGGGCTCGGGGTTCCGAACGCCCGGAACACTGGCAGGGGGCTGCTACCCTGCGAAGGGAAATGCAGCAGGCGAGGATTTGCTCAGCCCCAGAGTATAAGAATGTTTCCGGAATTGCAACCTGGGACAACCCGTCTCCTGAAACCGAAGCCTGGCGACAGGTACAAGCCTTTTTCGGAACCGAAACCCTGGACCACCCCGTCCCTAGAAACCACGAAGCAGCTTGGCGCACGGGGCGCACATTCCTTGCCGAGAGTCTTGGATTGGCTGTGGTCAGCACTCTTTGCAGGGTGAAAGCAAGGTGGGGCATTTGTGTGCGAGGGCGGAGCCACAAAATTCGCTACATCGGGCTGACCTGTTGAAAGTCACCATCCCTTTGAGAAGTGACTGATCATCTGAGCCACAATCAAAACCCTGGTAAGTCAGGGTTAGAACGGGACAGTTCCAAAGACAACTAGGTGCCGCTATGTGCCCTCTTAATTCTTTGCATTGTTTTGGGTAGGCCACTCAAAAATATCAGGTTTGATCTTGACTCATGGGCTCGGGGTTCCGAACGCCCGGAACACTGGCAGGGGGCTGCAACCCTGCGAAGGGACATGCAGCAGGCATGGCAGTGTCCTGCGGCTTGCGTGTTGTTTTTGGGGGGGACCCACCAAAATGTGGGTTTCCTATTGCTTTCCCTCTGAGTGTGTTTAGGGACAAAACCAAGTGCGCCCCCACACGCCAGGTTTCTGATTGAACCTTGGTAGAGGGTATTTTGATTGAAGTTCTAAGCGCCTTTCCTGGGGGACCAGGGGCGCGAAGGTCTTCTGTTCATGTGTGTGTGCGCGCGTGTATGAGTTGTGATGGCAGGCATGACGATAGACCGACTGAGATTTAATTATGGCTCGGGTTCGCCGAGTTGCAGGCAAGGCTCTACGTCAAGTGATCATGTGTGCCCATGGTGAGCTCTGGGGCTACATCCAGCTCCCCTCCCTTGGTTCTGGACATGCGGAATTTGCGCATGACAACGGTAAACGCTTCGCGTTGCCCGCCTGGGCCAGAATGCATCTGGCTGGCTTTGAGGCACTGTTTTTTGGTTTGCCTTGAAGTGTTGTGTTTGCTTGAATCAGTGATTCGGCACTGGATTGCGCGGGGCGCATGTTATGGCCTCAAGGGGGCTAGATAGGACAAGACCTGTGTGTAGAGGGGATTTGACTGGCTTCCATGGGGAATTTGACCGGTTTCTGGGGAGAATGTGACCGGTTTCTGTGGGGGATTTGACTGGAGTTGGGCTGGCTTTAGAGGAGATTGGTTTCCAGACGGGAATTTGACCGGTTTGTAGGCGGCTTCTCATTGGAGCCTGGACCGGTTTTTTGAGGATTTGACTGGGTTTGGTCGGTTTGTAGGAGTTGGACCGGTTTGCTGGGTCCAGGCCCGCAAGCTGGAGCAGGCAACTGAGGCACTACTTCCCATAATTAAATCCGAAACCTAGAAATAACACAGCTTTTATGAACCCTGTGTCCAAGGCGAAGCCAAACGAATCCTCTACTCCAGAATGGAAATGGATGCCCATATCAATGACTGAGTGGATGGAACCAACGGGTGTTTCGGAGATCGTCTAGGGCTGTTCCGAGCTCTCGAGGTAGTGCCTTTCGCTCCCGTTCTGTCGATCATGGTTTTGAAACAGCAAAATGTTCATCATTCCCCTGACTGGCCAAGCTATGACCCAAAGCGCTTGGCCAAGTCATGGCCAATGTCGACCCCGTCCGTTCCCCATGTTAATAAATGCACCTATGATTTCATATGTGTATATATATATATATACATTGTATTTTGCGCAGACTCTAAATCTACCACTTCTAAACTAGAGTTCGCCAATACTAAGCAGAATCTAAAAGACAATCAATATTAAGCCGATATTACGCCAAGTTCATGCCAATTCGAAGCCAGCGCAAATCCAAAAACTGACTTAGAATTCTGCTGATTGAATTCCTTACTCGGGAAATCTGAACGATTTTTGAACGAGGGCCCAGGAGCAGAAATGGGTCATCTATCAGTTGTTGTTGGCCTCCAGGCAATAAGCTCACTTGCGGGGGGAGTTGTGTTGCAGGTAGAAGCGATTTATTCGGGAAAGTGAAGTGGATCCAAGAAAAGGCGGCAGGCGGTGGCCGAACACCCACTTTTGCCCCCTGACCCACGTTGAGCGGCCAAAAATCCCACATGCAATGGTGCCAGGCCTTTGACATTGAAGAAGAGGCCGCCCGATCGGATGCGCGAGAGCCTTCGGGGCTTTTGTCCCTTTGATTTCCTTTGAGTCCTTTGGACCGTCCCGCTGCAAGTCGAGGCATCCAAAGTCGGATGGGGGCTGTTTCCTCAGGCTGAATTGGCCAATGGTAAAGCAATGAGGCTAGTAAACTCCAGGCCCAGAATGATGCTGACTCAGAAGCACTGTGTCTGTATGTGTATGTATAGACACACACATATACATATATATATATATATCATTCACACCACGGACAACGGCCTATATACGTGGGGTAAGTGTGTGCATATGTTTCTCAATAAAGAATTCATATATGCGTATACATATATATATATATATATGTAGGTGTTATGCATAAATATAAACATGTACATATATATATATATATATACACGTGTACACTTGCCATGTCCACTCGGTTGAGATCCCCCTGTCATACATGCGGAGGCTGAGGAGTTTGCGTTTCCGTCCTTGCAGCTGGAGGCCGGCAATCGCTCGAATGGTATGTGTGGTTGTCAAAACACCCTGCTGGGCATGCAGCCTTTGGTATGGTTCTTAGACTGTTCCATTATTGAGGGTTCCGATGAATATGTGGCGCAAGGCACACTCCCGAGCAAAATTAGGAGAATGCAAAAGCTGCTGGACCCAACTATAGAGAACCCTTGGACATCCACTGGTCTGGGATGCTAAGACCCCACCCCCCGTTGATCAAAAGCTTCTTAGGTGGACGATCTCCAGTCCTGCATGAGCGGCTCCGACGCGGAGCCGGCGCGGCGGCTGTTTGGGATCTCGCCTGGGCTAGGGGAAACAGCTGGGACAGGAGTGTGTGCCAACATAGGCGGACGCAAAATGGGTGGTGTCCTAGTCCTGGAGGTGCTTTGCGCACTTTTTAGGAGGAGCAACGTGTGAGTAGCATTCGAATTTCCATGTCCCACCAAGCGTGGCTTGGTGAATAGGCTCTTTGGTTGGAAGACACGTTTCTTTGCGGAAAAGGGGCCTGTGCGCCAGTTTTAAGCAGCATTCTCTTCAGAGTCCTGTTTTCTTTGGTTTCTAGATGGGGTTGTAACACACATGGGGTTTCCAAACGCCTAAAGGGAACAATCGAGGCTTGAGATGTGCAGCCGCTGAGGGGGAACGAGTGGCACGTGCCAAGAGACGGACGAACGATAGGAGTTTGGTTAAGTCTTGTTTTGAAACCCTCCCCACAGCCACGCGGAACCAAGCGGGAGGGCCCTGGAAGACCATGTTCCGTGACAACAGGGTGTTCTATTCTTGCTCCCCGAACTCTTTCATATTTGCCGCCCCGCCAAATCTCCTTGGAAAGGGCGAGCAGTTCACGCGGAGGGTTAAGAGCATTCAAGTGAAGCCCGACGGCAGATCTTTGTAAGGGGCTTTGGGGCTCTAAAGTAATTAGCTGCATGTCTCCTTGAAGCTAGCCTGGGGTCCTTGGAAGTTTGCGGGGCGCGTGAAGATGGTCTTTGTTCCCCTTTGAGTTCTCTACCCAAATTGGCTCTCGGGAGGGTTCGGGAGGGGTTCCATGGGCTTCCAGGGGTTGTGGGGGGAAAACCGCTGTCGGCTTAGTTTGGCTTTTCGGACACCTCCAGGGACTGAGCGTCGAGACCTTCAAGGAGGTGGTGGTGGAAGAGGATGAGGCGCATGCGACGGTTTGGGCCGCTTCCCAAACCGTCTGACGCAAATAGAGGGGCTTGGCCGGGCATATCGTTTTGACGTTGAACCGCTCGCACCCAACACGGACCACCCACCACCACCACCACCACCACCACCACCACCACCACCACCACCACCACCACCACCACCACCACCTCCACCTCCACCTCCACCTCCACCTCCACCTCCACCTCCACCTCCACCTCCACTTCCACCTCCACCTCCACCTCCACCTCCACCACCTCACCCACCTCACCCACCTCCACCACCACCCACCACCACCACCACCACCTCCACCTCCACCACCACCACCACCACCACCACCACCACCACCACCACCTCCACCTCCACCTCCACCTCCACCTCCACCTCCACCTCCACCTCCACCTCCACCACCTCACCCACCTCCACCACCACCCACCCACCACCACCACCACCACCTCCTCCACCTCCACCACCACCACCACCTCCACCACCTCACCCACCTCCACCACCACCAGCTCCTCCACCTCCACCACCACCACCACCACCACCCCACCACCACCACCACCACCACCACCACCACCACCACCACCACCACCACCACCACCACCACCACCACCACCACCACCACCACCACCCCACCACCACCACCACCACCACCACCACCACCACCACCACCACCACCACCACCACCACCACCACCACTCCACCACCACCACCACCACCACCACCACCACCACCACCACCACCCACCACCACCACCACCACCACCACCACCACCACCACCACCACCACCACCACCACCACCACCACCACCACCACCACCACCACCACCACCACTTTCCAACGCTATGCTGATGTTCGAAGTCTTCACGGTGCTTTGCGAGCCACGGGCGTTAGCTCGCAACCGACACTCAGCCACTCGCACCTGCGCATCTGCCAGGTCTGGGGGGTGGATCAGCTGGCCCTTCGGCGGGCAGAAGGGGAGCACGGGTCGCTCTGTGTCGCCTGTAAACAGAACCCCGCAGCATTGGCAACTGGAGGAACCTGCCGGTTTTGGTAAAAGAAAGAGGGAAACACTCAACTTACCACGGATAACGGATTCGGATGAAGGATCCCGCATGTTGGCTGAGTCACTCTTTTCGGGTCCGTTTGCTCAGTGGGTTGCCTGCCAGCCCAAGGTAGACCAGGCACTTCTGCTTGGGGACGAGGACGAGATGTGCGGTGCTCGATTCGAATCGCAACGCAAAGGAACAACAACAGTGTACTAGCATCCCTTTTGTTTCCAATGGTTTGTCAGAACATAGTGAATGGTTGGGTTTGAGTTTGAAATCAACTGGCAAACATAGGCGGCCATTGTCTTCGCGTCCCCGCTGGGCAGATGAGTAGTGATTGGAGACCGCTGTCTGTTTGTAGTGGTACTAGTTTGGATGTAGTGCTATTTTTCCGAAACCTGGCATGTCTCTGTTGCACAGCCCAAAGACAAGTCCAAATGCTACTTGTTACTTACTAGGGTAATCTTTAGCTGCCCCTTCAGTGGGCACTTGACTTGCCACTCATCACAAAGCAAACGGGGAGCTGAAGGTAGAAAGCTGGGCGTGCGAGGCGTGTTTTGAACTTGTTTGCCGGGCACGTAAGGCTCATGACGCAGGTGGCATAGGCGGTTCGTCATGAAACAGTTTTCTTCAGGTTTGGGATGCTGCGGCTGCCGAGTGTCAGTGGGTTCCTTGCCAAGCGTTCAACGCCAGCGTGAGCATACGGGCAACTTGATGTTCAAACACAATTGGCATTTTATCCTGACCTGAGCACGTTACACAACCTGGCTAGTTGGAGGTTAGTGGGGGGGGGGGAGTCGCCACCAACAACCACATTTGTGCAGCCGCAATGTGATTACTCACGGTTTGGGGTGGCAGTACCAGGCGTTGATTGTGACGCCAGTGGTTTGAACGTGTCTTTTCGAATTGATGGCCCCACCTCATGGAAGATAGGCACATGCCACACCTCCACGAATTTGCGACCTGACCGGATTTTCTCTGGTTTCTCATGGGGAAGTGATTGGAACTGCAGTCCTCCCGCCTTTACCTTGAGTTCTTGGGATTCGGAAGACCTGGTTCGGGGTTGAGAGTGAATCCTTGAAGGGTCAAACGATGTGGCATTTCAACCTTCAGACTGGCAAAGGATGCTTTCCCCATTTGGCAGGACAACGACTCTTTGCGGGGGTCAAGAGACAACTCCGAAAAATCCGTGAAAGAAATAATCTCATCATGCCCTTCAGTGCCCTTGGGAGAAAAGCACCTCTTACCCGCGTGCTGTTTCTACAGAACTCGCAAAAAGCGAGTGTGCCTCAGGCCGAAAGCTTGCATCTTTGGAGGCAAATCTCAAGGGTGTCTTAATGTGGTGGGGGGGGGGCGGCAACATGGTCTTTGTGTTTTCCCCTATGGCTTTCCCTAAAGACCAAGGGGTACCCTCCAAAACGAAAACGGACACATCACTTTGACCGGGCCTCCATCGAGTGAGGCCCGCAGCAGATGACACCCTGAGGGAGGTACAGAAGGGGGCCCGGGGCCTTGGCAGCCGCCGATTCGTATTGACATGGCTTGGAACTCAAGCACATCTGCATTTCCCGGGTCCCATATGTGGCGCGCGCAGCTCGAGGAAAAGGCCAGGGCACATGTGTGAGTGAACCGTTTCAAGTCGAGCCTTGAACATGTAGTGTGTATCTTATCTTAAGGAACCTTTGACGCTAATGCCTTGCGGGACTTGGCTTCTCGTGTGCGGCGGGAACCGCGCGAGGTGTCGACCTATCGAATGATTCGCAACTTCCGGAACCGAATTTGGCCGGATACTCAGCTTGTCGAACGTGCCGCCCCAAGAGTTGGCAGGCGTGATGGTTGCTGTGCCACCGCTCGCTTGTGGAAGGAACGTTACTTCTGCGGAGGCGGCGGTTCGAGCATGAGAGGCTCTTCCTGGGGATAGTGGAAACTTTGTGCGGGCCGTTGTTCGGACCCAGGTCTGAGACGTTCGGCTACAACAAGCAAGAGATGCTGTTTGCGCCGTTCCTGAAGCTACAGGCGGAAGGGGCGAGAGGGGAGGGAAACATGTGAGGTCGATTCGAAACCCCGTAGTCTGGGCGTATTTGAAAACGGTCCCGACCCAAACCGTGCGCAGGGCGGTCTTTGCCAACTCTTGTGCTTTTTCGGTATGGGTGTTGAGCGGGCTTATTTGCACGTCAAACCTAATGACGCCCTTAAATGACCCAGTTTTGGATCATGTTTTGGGCTTTGTCGCGAAATCTAACTCCAATGGATGGTCTGCCGTTGGTTTCCGGCTACCTCCCAAAAGGGCTCCCTCAGCAAAAGACACAGCCACTTCCAGAAAAGAGGGTAGGGCGGGCCTTTGGTTCCCTAGTTTCAGTGTAAGCCATAAACATGGGGTTGTGACATTTTGGAGGGTACCCTTGTTTGGGGTTGGTTTAAAGGGGATTGTCAAGGAAACCGTTTTGGGTGGTCCCTCCATCTTGACACATCACATCTCTCAGGATGAGAACGTCGCCAGCAGTTTGGCCGACTGGCATTTAAACCCGATGCGCTGGGGACTCGGCTTCCGCTCAACGCGGGGGGGGGGGGG